GGGGAAATGTTACCTCCCTGTCCCAGGGACAAAGTTTCACAGTTTTGGTGGGATCTGTTGGGGACAAAATTGCACCATTGTTTTAGTTCTGTATTGTTGCATTTCTGCAAAATATTGGAAGTGGTACCTTCCAATATTTTGATACCTTGGGGGGGGGAGGGTTCTGGGTGTTTTACGCCGAGAAGTATAGAAGCTTAGCCGTTTCCTAATGTTGCATTTCTGCAAAATATTGGAAGTGGGTGATCCCCTTCCCCTTCCACCGTTGGGGAAGATCCTGTGGATATTGTCCTACACATCCTTATTTTGCTCCACTGGAATCACCAACAGGGGTGGGGGTGGAGGTGCAGGTATGTCTCAGTCCTTTCTCCACATTTTCCTGCAGCTGCTGCTGCTACGGTTTTCTTTACAGCTGAGTTGCAGAGGAGGGCCTTGGTTTTTGCATTCTTGCCCAGGAATGTCTTGCTTCTGGTCTTGCTCGGGACCAGCATCACCTGGAAGATCTTCTCTCTTGTCAAGGATGTTGGGAATGATGTGCGGGTGACAGCAGACACATGGAGAGGTCGAAGAAGCCACCTCAGGGGACATGTGCCTGTTCTGTCTGCCACCCCTAAGCTTTGGCCCTCTGGATATTTGGGACCTCCAGTCTCAGAGGTGCCTGCCAACATGATACCTTGGGGGGGGGGGAGAGTTCTGGGTGTTTTAGGCCGAGAAGTATAGAAGCTTAGCTGTTTCCTAAACCCGACTTGAATTGCCTTTTCCAGTGTCTCCCATCTCAGGCGCTCAGCCCAGGTTCCCACAGCTGAGAACGCCTGGGAAGTGTTCACTTGAAGCTTGGCAGGAGTGGGTCTCTGTGTGTGTGTGTGTGTGTGTGTGTTGCTTACAATGTCCTCATTGAGCGCGTGTTGGGAGTTCTTGGGTGTTCGGGCAGGGCAGGGTGTTTATCACCATTTCAGCTTTTCCGCGAGGTTCCCACTTGCCGGAGAAGAGCTTGCAATGCCCTTCAGGATGATTCATGGGTGACTCTCCCTGAACTGCTCTTCTCTCCCCCACCCCCACCCCCCAAATCCCGCTCTGATGCTTTCCATTTGGCAGCCGTTTGTCTCCTGGCCTTGTTGCGCTAATGAGCTAATTGTTTAAGAATCTCGCCCAATTCATGAGCCTCTTTGGGAAGGCTGGGCTTGCGGAAGACCTTTTGACAAGCCATCTTTCTCCCGGCTTGACGGTGGGGCAGGGAACAGGGCGGCTCTTTGTGGCCGCCTGAAGAAAGAAAGGGCCTTTCCAGCCGCCAGCCGCCCCGTTTCCGTCTTGACCCCCTTCTCTCCCCTGGCAGCCTCAATGCCGCAGACAAGCGGAACCTCCCCGGTGTTTCCTTGACCGGCGGACGGCCCATTCACTTCCCATCTGGTTCTTAACTCCTTTAAGAAACAGGGGCTGGGGAGGGGGCTCTTATTATAAATCTGTCTTTGCAAGTGATCAATGACCAGCGTTCTTTTTAGGGACGGCTTGGGTGGTTTTCTCCTTAAAGTTCTGCTTTTTCTTGTTGTATGTGAACAAGAGAAAACTGCCTCAAAAATGTGAAGCATTAGCGTAAAAGTGATTTCTTTGAAACAAAACAAAACCCGAAACACCCCCCCTCCCAATACTCCTCATTGGGGCATGACCCTAGCTTAGCTGGAATCACTCTGTTCCGGCAGCATTTCGTGTTACCCTTGGGCACTGAATGGAGGCGCAGAGGCCTGGAAACGACCCAAAGCTTCTCCTGTCACCCCGCTGGGCCTGTGTCTGTGGCCTCTTCACCTTCATCGGTCCACTCTCGGTGGCCAGTGCTTGCCAGCACCCCAGGTGAGCCAGGAGGGGGAAAGGAAGGATCCTTATGGAAACTCTTCCATCTCCTCGTGATCAGCTCCCACCCTCCTTCCTGAACCTTCTTTCCTGGAACAGGAGTCCTGTCTTGCCATAGTGGCAAAGGCTTCTTTGCCACCGCTGGGAGCCCTGGCGAACACTGGATATTTTTCTCTGTCTTTGTGAGATGGTTTGCCGAACGGTACTTCCAGACTAGAGGGAGGAGCAGAGGGTGTGGGAGAGCCAGCTTGCCGGTGGGGCTGGGGGGGAGCAAGAGCCGGTCGAAGCGCTGGGATCCCAGGGACCCTTGCGGTGAGACGGCCACGGACCTAGGATGGGGCTGCCCCTTTTGAGAGAGGCTTCCTCGCTGCCGCCTCCACAGGATCTCCCTGGGCTGAAGGCTAGCCCTGCTCCCTGCCCAGAGGGGAGGCCCCTGGGTGGCTCTGGCGGGTGATGAAGACCGGAGGAGAGAAGGAGGATGGCTCGCCCTGGCAACCTGCTGTGGACCTCCCTGTAGCAAGAGCTTCTCTCAGAATGGTACCCAGGGTGCCACGACCATTGACCGTTGTTCCCCCCCTGGCACAAGCATTGAGGTGTGCCGGGAGCTCTTCATGACTTGAACGCTCTCTACCTCGAGGCCAGTAAAATGCAGAGAGAGATGCTCGCTGGTTCTTCTTCTTGGCCTCTGTGAATCCACACCAGTGGGTTTTACTACACCTGCGCGTGATGGCCCACCGGGCTTTAAGAGGTCAGGGCCGGCCAAGGCATGTTGGCTGGAATTTGGGCAATTTCTTTCAATAAGTAGCGCTTTGGTCTCCCCCCCCCCCCCCCAGTTTAGGTTTCTTGGGTCTGGCCATCCGTTCTGCAGGGATTCCAGACAGATCCTTGTTCTGTGTGCGGTTGCTTTTTTACCAGGACCCAGCAGCTCTGGAAACTGATTCTATAGAAGAAAAGTGTGTTTTTTCAAATAAAAGAGATAGAGAGCGAGAAAGATGCCTCTCCATCTTGAGCTGACCTCCTCCGTCCCTCTGTGGGCAGCCAGAGCAGCCCTCATCCCCTTAGCTTTGTTTTGCCCTGTTCACAGTGAGTATTCAAACGCTAATTACAGATCAATTAGTCTTGTTTTTGAACCCCTTGGAGCTGGTATCAGGGGAGTCATGAAAAGAAAACCGAGTGGGTCGGCCGGCTGTGGGTGTTGTTTTATGTGCAGATAAAGCGCCCACCTCCCTGCATGAGCCTCTCTCCAGGTCCTGAATAAGAGGGTTTCTTCATTCTCTTGGGGGGGTGGATTATGGGACTATTCATGACAGATCAGGGGTTGGGATGAATCCATGCAGGAGTGGTGGCGGGGCCAGCTCATCTTTTGAGTAAACAAGGAGTCGATGGAGAGCAGCAGAAGGGGCATTCAGGAGGGCAGCCGGCTGGGGTGCTCCATTGTGGCCAAGCTAGAAGCCGGGCTTTGTTCCTTGGGCCCTCCTGCCTGGGGATCTTCCTCATCCTTTAACAGGTGGTGCAAGACGTGGGCCGTGCTTGCCCTTCCTCCTCCTCAGCCTCCTCCTCCTCCTCAGCACTGTAAGCTCTTAGCAGGGACCTTGCTCGTGTAGAAGGGCCTCCAAGCAGAAAGGTCAGAGGGGGGGAGAGAGAGAGTGAGATAGAGGGGCCGAACCCCTGGAGCACAGACATGATGGGAGGGGGGAGGCCAAAGACTGGCCGAGCAAGCAAAAGATTGCTTTCTCTGGATAGGCACCCTTGGAAGATTCTTGGGGCCCACGAGGTCTCACCTGTTGAGGGGTTTGCACAGCCCGTCCACCCCAGACAATTGCTCAGCAGGACCTTGGCCCCAGCGGCTGTCCACCCTGTCTTTATAGCCTTCCAGGCTCCCCCTGCGTCTCCCATTTTGCCCTACCAAGCGTCCAGTTGCTTGGGCCGAGGGGCCTTCCTCAGACGACGACGACTCCTCCGCCTGCGTCAGTGACACGGAGGTCTCGCCCAGGGCAGCTCCCCTCCCGGCACCTCCTCGTCCACCTGAAGAGGCGCTCTCGGGACGCTGCCTTTCTGCCTGCCCTTTCCCCTAAACTCAGGCCCCTGAGCCTTCTCCTGGGCTGGCGAGCAGCTCAAAGACCGAAAGCCGTGACTCGGAAGGGGTGCGGGGAGGCCGTCGGGTCTCCTGGTTCTCCTCGCCCGTCCTATATAGCCCTCCAGGCACGGGCCAGACAAGCCCGGGAGGAGGCAGTGGGGCTCTCCAGAGCAGGGACCTTGCACAAAAGTGCACAAAGTGCACAAAGACTTGGCTCACGTCTACCTTTGCAGTGGCCAACGAGAAGTTCCATCTTTCCCATTCCTGGGATAGGTAAACTCTGCATAGCTACATGGTGTTGCAGGTTTCACTTAACATGAACTAATTCCACTCTTTGGGTTGAAATGTACATCAAGGTGACCGTTTCTGTTACTTTGCTGGATCCACAGCCTCCATGAAGGATGGGGTTGGGGTGGGGGGGTGGAAATAAGATGCCAGCTGTTGCTGTTCAAGGGTTGCCTCATGTCCTCTGTGTGTGTGTCCGTGTGTGCGCATGACAAGGAGGTGCCCTTCCTGGGGGAGGAGGTGGCATGATAGCTGGTAGCCGGCCGGTGTCTGTGCTCTCTCAGGAACTAACTGGGAGCACATTTAGGTCCTTCTTGAAGTTGACCCTCCCGTGGGAACGAGCTGTGATGGGAGGCTTGGAAGTGTTTGGTGGTTTGGAGGGGCTGCCTTCAGCATCTCCCAGCCAAGGTGGGCAGAAGTCTCCCACGGTCAGCTGGGGCCATCCTTTATTTGGATCTGAGCAAGGTCCACCCTTTGGCCGGACAACCCCAAAAGGGGACATGGAGGCTGTGTCTCAAGGCAGGAGCCCCAGACAGGGGTCCGTGTGTCCAAGGAGGGTGAACAGACCCATGTCGTCCAGCCAGGCTTCAGAACAGCCACCCGGAGGGAAGGTTGGGACCCTCACGCTGACTCCCAGCTCTGAGTTGTTACAGCTGGCGTGGGATGGGAGGCGCCACTTTGCTCCTGCTTCTCGTTGGAGGAGATGGATCGCCGTAGGGGACTTATGTTTTCACTTGGAGCCATGTGTGGGACTGGAGAGCAGGGAAGAATTGCCATGATTTCTTGCTCTTTCCAGAAAAAGTGCGGGAGATCCAGGAAAAACTTGAAGCCTTCATAGAGGCCCTGCATCAAGAAGAGAAGTAGATGGTTCACTCCCTCAGGTGAGCTGCTTTTGCCAACAGGGAAGTGTGACACCGCGCGACTCTCTGCCCAGAGCAGGCGACGGTCCTGGTCGGGTGGAGGACTTGCCCAGTCAAGGGCCCCAGAGCGCAGCATCACCTTGCCAGGGGCCCAGAAAGGCTGCCTAACCCTCCTCGTTCATCTGATGGTCCAGCCAAGAGACCAGGAGGTGAAGGGGGAGAGAGAGGGTGGCCTTCCAGACAACCAAAGGAGCTTTCCTAGAGTGCCTCGGGCCAGCCCACCTTGCAGAGGAATGCCTGCTGCCATCTTTACAGAAGCCCGAGGCCGGCTCCTGGCTGGCCGGCCCAGGACCAAGCAACCCCAGGGGAAGGGCTCTGGCGTTTGTAGCAAGGAGACGTGGTTCTCCTTCGCCTCCAAGAGAGGAGGCCCCTTCGTCCTGTGCCAGAGCCCTAGTCCTTGGGCCCAGTTTTGTCTCCCCTGGACTGGCAACCTTCTGTGTGTAGAGGATGTTCTCTCTACCACGGAGCCCCATCCCTCCCACCTAATGGCTCTCCCCACTTCAGCGCTAACTGGGCCCAACTTGTCTGAGCTTCTGAAATCAGACTGGAAGAGTGCTTACCCCTCAGGGCAGGGTGCGGTTGCCAGCTTAGGGCCTGAGCAGCCGCTTCAGGTTTTGAAGGCTGGGGTGAAAGCCCTCCCATGGCAGCTGGGAGGGGGGGGTTGCTCCCCCGCCTGCCTTCTCTTGGTAAGCCTGCTTTTCTGTTTCCCAGACCCTCTTCAGCCATCCAAGCCCTGTTTAGGAACTCATGGCGCTCAAACCTGACCAGATGGGCCCCTTCCAGGTCCTCCTCTTCTCCCTGGGGCACTTTTCAAGGATGTCTTCAAACGTCGCCAAGGAACTACAGTCACCAGCAACACCACGAAGGCATGGCTGTCACCTGGTGGCTGAAGAAGAGGAAGACATGTCAAAGAAAGGGATGAGTTGGGATGGATCCCATTTTGGCCAGCGGTTCTGTTCCTCAAGGAGAGAGGAGGAGAAGCAGAGAAAGGGAGTTTTCTGGCCCGGGGAGGCAAAGCGTCCCTGGGCTCTTCAAAGGGGTTGTAGCTGCTCTTGAGGTTCAGTTGTGCAAAACCAAACTGAGCCCTGGAGAGCTTAAAATAAAAATTTTAGCGTTTGTACATATATGGATGACATTTAAGCAATGTATGTTTGCACTTGCAGAGCGGTAGGTGTCCTGGTGTCCTACAGGTCTTAAGGTGTGCTTCTGACTACTCTATGGAGACCAGGCCTGGGAAGCCCTGGAGAGGGGGAAGCCTGCCTGTGAGGAGGGGCCGTGGCTGGGGTGGGGGCTTCCAGTCAGGGTCCCCAGAGACGTCCAGAGGGACCTCTGGGTGGGCCTCCTGGGTTCCTCTCCTTCCGCCTAGTGAGGGACAGGGAGAGGGGTTGAGGTCAGCCACGTTTCCTTTCCTTTCCTTCCTTCTCACCCCTTCTTTTCCATTTTTGTGGGTGCCTGGCAGGCCTTTCTGAACTGGCAGGGATGAGGGCGGGGGTGACCGATCAAGCATGGTGCCGGAGCCTCTTAGATTTGTTTTCTGGAGAGCCTGAAAGAACCCCTTCCTTGCAAAAGCCTTGTTCCTGCCTTGTCCGGTGTCCTGATCAGTCGGGGGTCAGTCCACGGCTCATGGTCCTCCTTACCCTGTTTCCTCCCAACGCCTCGTGGCCTTTGGCCTTTATGCCACTGGGGAGGAAACAGCCTCGTCCCCAGCAGATAAAAAGGCACAGAAGATTGTGCATCCTTGGAGGGCCTGTCATGGGCCAGGCTTGGGGGATTTGCCCAGGGGAATTGTGTGTGGTGTGTGTGTGTGTGTGTGTGTGTTGATTCTCTCTGTTGTCAAAATATGTCATTCGTGACCAGTTTTACCCCTGAGTCCCATGCCAGCTTGTGGGGTGTGTTGTGTCACAGCCACCCTGTCTTCCCCCCGCCCCAAATATGCTGCCTCTCTCCCCCCCCCACTACACCTCAGACTCTTGCCTCGGCTGCAGGGCTTGGAAGGTTGCAGGCAAGGGAGGGGGCCCGCCGGGGGCACCAGCCAGTTTAAAAGGGGCATCCCAGTAGCTGTTTGATGGGGCAGAGATGGTTGGAAGGCTCTACTCTTGAGAAAACCACCATGGCACCTTGTGGCAGGCAGCCAGCATCGTATCTTCTTCAGCCGGGGACTTTGAAGTTTGCAACCAGGTGCCCTCCGGGCCGATGGGGTTTTTCATCCTCTTAATTTGTCCATCTGGACAGACGATTGTTGCCTAAGAGGGCTGAGAAGTTCCTGCTGATGTTAAAAGTCACGCAGGAGAGTCTTAAGTGGGCCACCAGGCCTCGACTCACTGGCCCTGCCCGGGGTGGGGGTGGGGGGGGAGGGAGAATGCTATTAAGTCCCTGTCGGTGACAGACTCAGCCACCACAGAGGGTCTCCCTTGCTGGGCTAGCCTTCACTCCCCATCTCCTCCTCCTCCTCCTCTTTGCTGTCTGGTGCACTTTGGAATTGCCAGCCTCTGCTGCTGGTCTGAAACTTAGCATGATGTATCCCCTTGAAAGGTATTTATTGAATGCAGATGTCATTGAAGAAAAGCTGAATAAACACACGTTTTGAACACGCTTTTTTGCCCCCCGTTTTCTGTGTTGGGCTTTGTCCTTTCTGTCTAGGCTTTGTCCTTTCTCAAAAGAGAAAATTGGGAAACGGAAAAGAAAGATCAAGGTGGGCCCCGCAGGCAAATGATGAGGGCCCCCGTCTGCAACAGTGTAAATTTGGAAAGGGAGTCAGGCCGATAAAAGCCAGCTTTACACCAGCTCCTCCCTTGGGCTCCAGTTTTAAATGGGTCGAAGGGGTTGTTGTTGAATAAGGAAGCCGCATGGATGCTCTGCTTTGGACGATCCCCACCATCGTTGGACAGCACCGTGCTGAAACCACAGCTGACACGGAGGGACATCTTAGTCCTTGATGGCCTCTCCGTTGCCTTCTTCATCCCTGGCGCTCCTTTGTCACTCTGTGCCGGCTTCCCCACTGGTGCTAATGGGGGGGGGGAGGTGGGGCAGGGCAGGGCAGGGGTTGAAGCTGAGCAAGAGTCCATTTGCCCAAGGTGACCAGCTGGCGTGTTCTTTGCTGGGGTGGCATTTTGAAACCAGGACCCTGATGTCCCCAAACATCGCTTGCAAGTGACATTGAGTGGAGAGAGGAAGGTTTGTCCTTGATGCCTCAGCTGAGGGGGAAAGCCTCCTTCTGTGGTCATCTGCCTGCTCCCATCTTCGGCCTCCGTGGTTTTCCTTTCTGCTTTCTGAGAAAGGCCAAGAGCTGTACTTGTATCTGGTCCTTGCTTAAAACATTAATCCTTCAGCTCCTTAATGAACAAAGACAGCTTGCATTTGATAAACCATCGAGCACTGGAAATTTTATAGTAACCATTGAGTGTAAAGAAAATGGATTTTTCTCGCAATTAGCTAAAACCAGCACTTGGAAGAGAGGTTGGCCAAATGGCTACGTTTTGCTTCAGACTGTATTAAAACAGAATTACCCTAATTATCTGATGATTTGTCTGAACAAAGAAATTAAGAGCGCATTACCCAGACGTCCGTCCATCACTCTGTCCCACGAACTTGCAATTTGATTTTTAGAACAAGTGAAATGAAAGTCTTTAACCGTTGGAGGAGCTGGCGAGAGATTTTTAAGAGGCCATCCAGCTGAAATGGGTGCTTCAACACGTTTTATCTGTGCTTTACTCTTGAGTATTTAGGAATGTTGTGATCTCTGGTGATGAAGTCATCTTAGACGTTGCCTGTAGCAGCTGCAAGGAATGGTTAGTCAGAACATTATTCAGCTTGGCCACCCCTTTGTGGGAGCACCCACCCCTTGTTAATAAAAAGATAAAGCAAGATTGTGCTCCTGATTTGAAATTGTTGAGTTCTTTAAGATGCTTTTTTTAAAAAGTGATTATATTCATTGTACCTTTTTCCAAGATCTGTTTACAAAGAGCAAGTTAGGAATTGTTGTTGTTTAGTCGTTAAGGCGTGTCCGACTCGTCCTGACCCCATGGACTCTCGAACACGCCAGGCCCTCCTCTCTTCCAATGCCTCCCGGAGTTGGGTCAAATTCATGATGGTCGCTTTGATGACACTGTCCAACCATCTCGTCCTCTGTCGTCCCGTTCTCCTCTTGCCCTCACACTTTCCCAACATCAGGGGCTTTTCCATGGAGTCTTCTCTTCTCATGAGATGGCCAAAGTATTGGAGCCTCCACTTCAGGATCTGTCCTTCCAGTGAGCACTTAGGGTTGATTTCCTTCAGAATGGATAGGTTTGTTCTCCTTGCAGTCTAGGGGATTCTCAAGAGCTTCCTCCAGCACCACAATTCAAAAGCATCAGTTCTTCGGCGGTCAGCCTTCTTTATGGTCCAGCTCTTACTTCCGTACATCACTACAGGGAAAACCATAGTTTTGACTATTCGGACTTTTGTTGGCAAGGTGATGGCTCTGCTTTTTAAGAAGCTGTCAAGGTTTGTCATCGCTTTCCTCCCAAGATGCAGGCATCTTTTAATTTTGGGGCTGTTGTCCCCATCTGCAGTGATCATGGAGCCCAAGAAAGTGAAATCTGTCACTGCTTCCATATCTTTTCCTTCTATTTGCGAGGAATTGGCAAGGTGATGGCTCTGCTTTTTAAGAAGCTGTCAAGGTTTGTCATCGCTTTCCTCCCAAGATGCAGGCATCTTTTAATTTTGGGGCTGTTGTCACCATCTGCAGTGATCATGGAGCCCAAGAAAGTGAAATCTGTCACTGCTTCCATATCTTT